CTGCTTGGGGCTCAGTGAAACAGGCAACGGCGGCTGCATTTTCCACCCCCCCCGGAACCTGAGAGGAGGGGGATGAACAGAAATCGGAAAGTTTTTTGCGGGATGTTCTCAGTAAGCAAAAGCCCTCAAGTGTGAATTCATTCGGGCCTCCGAATGTGAACATGGTGTCATGGCGCCTTTGACACATTGGGTTAATTTGCTGCTCCCTGCGGGTGACCTTTGAACCTCCGGACCGGCGGAATCATGTCGTTCCGAGGAGCCGGGGGTCACGGGTCGCCACGGAGATTCGGCCTATCTGGGCCCAAACCGCAAAACAAAAAACAAAAACCGGGACCACGTGTGCTCCGAAAGACGTTTGGAAAGCAAAAGAAGTGGTGATTTTCAATCTTGAAGCTGCCGCGCCCGCTCACTCCTTTTTTTTCTTCTTTCTCCCCAGTGCACACTTGATTCAATCAAGTTAGGAATGGACATCATCTCCTCCGTCGAATTGGCAGCGACGGGAGTTTTTCCCCACAGGTGGAATATCCATACAAACACGGGAATTTTGCGCGTACCTAATATTGTGACCTGCCAACATTTTCACAATACGAGCATGCGTGGAGTTGGCAAAGCAGACATCGTTGGGAATTTACGCAAGCACTATTTACACACAGTGCTTCACATAGATAGAGAAGAGTTAGCCAATGTCATTTTACATTTAGTCAAAGGAAAAAAAACAAAAAACTATGCGGTCAAAATACATCCAAACGGTGACGCATTTATGGACTGAGTGCAACACCAAACGGTGGAAAACACGAAAATGATTCACAAAGACAGCATACATCTTGTTGGACTATAGTTGTTTAAAAAAAAAAATCTATTATTTATGAAGTCCTACAACATGGTGATACATATATCTTATGAATAGTTACGAATAATGATTTACGACAGATGAAGCCACAGAGCAGCACATTCAAACGATATTTTCATTAAAAAGGAATACAGACATTGATACAAATGACCTCACGTGCCACTTCGAATTACGCTAAAGAAATACAAATACGCACAAAAGAATGTGACTGCATGATTTAGGTCTTAAAAAAAATGCATTTGTTGTCGTTAGGTCTTATGATAGTGACGTCGTCACGTGGGTTGTTCAGCGGGTGTCAACAACGAGACACGCTGTGTGTGAGTGTGTGTGTGTGTGTGTAGGCGTTTCTCTTGTGTTATTTTTGCGTCCCGGGATCCATTTGGCGCGCGTGCACAAGCCTTTTGACGGTGCGCCCGAAACGGAACATGACGTCATTTTACGTTGCTAAATATATTCACGTTGTTTTCGGAAGTCTTTGATGTTGGTGGGACGGGGATTCATAACACGCTTAATTTTTTTCACTCATGAAGCGAAAACGTGTTCATTGAGATTTTCATCTTATCTGAACGACACATTTTGAAAAATGATCAATTCACTTCAACGCACATATTTCTCAGTTTGTAAGTACAGACGGAAACGTGTTTTTGGCGAGTCGCAATAGGATCCCAACGAATGTGTCATCAAGTTCCAAAAAACAAGGAGGAACGTTTGAGAACGCACCTGTTGAGTTGTCCAAGCGGACAAACGAAACGCGGCCTTTTTCCTTTTGGGCGTTGTCGTCACAGGCAACGATCTCATTTGAAATGCAACCGAGAGCGTGCGAGAAGTACGAGGTCGGCCTATTTGTCAAGGTTTCATCGGGCTTGAAACGGTTGTTCTTAAAAAGCAAGCGTATGGTGACGTCACGACTCGCGGGACTCCTTGGCTTTTTGTTTCCTCTCCTCAATTTTTTTCCCTTTGTGTGTGCGCGTGTAAAATGAAGGCACGACGGCGGGACAAGACATGAAAAAAAGTTATGCTGTGTGTTTAATTTAAAAAAAAAAATCAACTGTCGCCACTTTTGTAAAAGTGGTCATTGTACGTTTTGAGTCAAGTGGCCAACAACTGTGTGTTTCGTTATTTTATGATTTAGAAAAGTGGTGGAAAAAAATAAGGTCCGATGAACACATTAGCCCCACTCGCTTCTCTCATCGCGTCTCTTCGTTGCAAGCGTGAGCAATTTTTCATCATTAATAAAGCAATGTACGATCACTAAAATACATCATTATTCCTTCACGTGTGTATTCATTAGTCGAGCGCACTGTTATTCATTTATCATTGAATCGCTGTCATTGGATTTATTTGTATTTAAAAAAAAACCTTATTCAAAAACAGTGTCGTAATTTGCATGTTTGATGTAATCGTTGACGTAACCATCTTGACATGATTATTCATAATCCAAATGAATAGGATACAAATCTTACATACATATATGGTTGTTTGAGGCAAATCTGGGATCGGCTGAAGGGCGGCACATAAGCCGTCGGACAGATGGATAGTTGACACACACATTTGAACTTTTTGCTGTGAACAATCTAAGTTTCCGGCCAACGGGACTAAATGCACTTTTGCGAATGCACAAATGAATCACTTCGAGTCAAACTCGAAGCAACAGCAAGTCGCATTCAGAAAAATATTGGCACAAGCACATCGAACAGAAATCCAGTCCACGCGGGGCAGACGCGAAGGAGCACAGACCAAGGAGGGAATTCCAATGTGAGCGCCGCATGTGGCTCCCTCACCAAATTTCCTACACCGGACAAGAATTACTCTCGCAAACAAACCAATGTTCTTCAACACCGCCAAAAATTGAACAAATAACACAAAAGACTTTTATTTCGTTATTTATTTGCGGGGAAGGAGTTCAAAAGACCAACGAAAGACAAATTGCAAGTCAGGTTTGCACCGTCTCGGTGCAGTAAAAAGCGCAAAAAGCAGTCAAGTCCTTTCTTTTGGAATGCAATGCATTTTGCGAGTGCGGGAGGGGAGACAAATTCAAAGCAAAATGAGTTGAAGAAATGGAGTGGAGGCTTTCACGTCATAGCGTCCACAGAACGGGCCCTTGGCCCTTTCAATTGCTTTCATGTATTATGGAGTGACCGGTTATCATCCTTGATAGTGTAAGTTGAGGGGTTCGTACTTTTGTAGTGGTAGCTCTACTTTGAGAATGGGCAAAAGGAGAGATGGAATCCTTTCAAGGCAGCTTTTTTTCCAACGTCTGCACGTCCCGAAGAACGAACGAACGAGAACACACCTTCTTCCGGTAACACAAACACTTCCTGGTTTTCTTCAGCCAATCAGACAATAACAACATAAGCTTGTTTGAGCAATTATTAAACGGAATATAACTTGGGTAACTGGAAAACAAGAATATAATGCTCAAATATAAAATGAAAATAATTCATAATTGAACATAAGCTTACAATAGTCTTATGTGAGGGTACCAAATAAAAAGCGAAGATAAAGCCGGTGGTTCTTGTGTCATCCGTTCACCGTTTGCCTTGCTTTTGACATTGCTCTTCAGCCGTCCTCAGTCAGCCAAATGTTGAGACGTTTTTAAAAACGTAAACTATCGGACGGACAAAGCTTTTGAGGTCAGGAACGGTGCATTTGATGCCGCAACGAACGCAGCCGTTAGCATGCCGGATAGTCCATTAAAGGCGCGTGCGGAAACGACAAAAAGTTGACCAACCTCGCATCTGTGCTCACTGCGGGCTTTGAAGGAAGCGACGCGACTCTCTCCGGTGCAACTTCAACAACAACAACAAAACATGGATCGGGGTTAGTTCATGCGTGGCGAAACGCAAATGTCTTGTGAAACGAAAACTTACTCGCAGTCCCAACGCCGTGTCTTTTCCAGATCAATCGGGAGGAACATCGCGAGCACGTGGAAAACTGTTCGTTGTGGCGGCGCATGGCGGAAAAAAAAAACGCACACACCTGCCGCGTGATTACTGTGACGTGTGGATATGAACTCAATAATTCAGTAAAAATAAAGTAAAGGCGTTGTCAAAAAAGAACTAACATAAGAAATATGGCTTCTACAGCGAAATACATACACGCGAGAAAAGAAGTAAACCGGGGATTGCTGGTTAAAAAAAAAAAGATAAATCAAGAAAAGCCGAAGAAAAAAAACAAGCCAAGTGACAGACGAACAGTTCAACTCGCATGCTAGTCAAAAGCCAAAGAAAATACAAGCACAGTACAGACAAATCGAGACGTCCGCGGTTGTGAGGCTTTAAGTGTAGTACCACATTGTGCCACAACGCGCTGCGGCAGCACCGAGGCCCTCGAGAAGAGATGCAATACAAATGTACGAGCCAGAAGAAGAAGGCTCAGTCTTGAATGTCCACCCTTGTCCCCCGAGACCCCACCGGCGCATCGCGATCTCCCACTTTTTTCTTTTATTGTGAAATAAAAATGGTTTGGTTTTAAACTGTATCCCGTTTCATTTGTTGTGCGTATTTTCAGTTCAATCCAACGAATTATTTCCGGGATGTATACTTCCTGGGTCGCTCGGATAATCGCGCTCGTGCCACGTTTTTTTCCCGCTCGCAATGCATCCTAGACTTGAAACGCAAGGACCCCTGTCAAAAAAGTCCGCTTTTTATGACGCCGACGTGTGTTTGAAAACGTTCGCTGCACTTAGAGGACAAAGCGTCGCGAGGGCTCTCTTCCTCTTCAACGCACAAGTTATCGAGCGATGCCGGGGTGGCACGTCAAGCTCCTCGATCACGCGACATGCCGCCCTCCGCGAGCTGCAACACGCCAGCGACACGCTCCGGAGCTCTGCGTGCTCCACGCATGCTACATTTGCTGAAGGATGCCGACAAATAAAGAATGTAAACAACCATCTGCTCTCTGCACAACAGAAGTAGGCGCGTGCGCGTATTCATGAATTGTTCATGCCGACGGAGTGACGTGCGAACATGATTTTCTGTGCATCATCACACACACACACACACACACACGCACGCACGCACGCACACACACGCGCGCGCGCGAGACAAGCACACGACCATGCTACATTTGCTGAAGGATGCCGACAAATAAAGAATGTAAACAACCATCTGCTCTCTGCACAACAGAAGTAGGCGCGTGCGCGTATTCATGAATTGTTCATGCCGACGGAGTGACGTGCGAACATGATTTCCTGTGCATCATCACACACACACACACACACACACGCACGCACGCACGCACACACACGCGCGCGCGCGAGACAAGCACACGACGTGTCCCTATGTGTTGATAG